TTAATCTCTTCGGCACCGGTGAGTTGGACTGCAGCTACGACTATATTCATTAGCTTGCTCATGGGTTTTATTCTGGGAAGATGGAGGATGACATCCCGGCGGAGGATTATCACGCAAGCAAGGATTAGCCAAACTTGGATTTCAGTATTTCCGGGGGCTGTTAGCTTCTACTTGCGCTACAATCAAGATGCTACAAATCAACAAGATTACCATACATGACTTCATTTTTTTCTTTTTTCTTAGATGCGTTCAAATACTATTCGGAAGCAATATATTATCGTAAAAAAATGAGACACATATATTTATACATATAGAGCTTAGAGAAAATACTACTTTTAGCTAGTCTATATTTAAAAGATCAAATCCTAAGTTAAGGTTGTAAAACAAGGTTTTTGGAGATGTTTTCGGGTTTCCAATGTTTTAAAGCCAATTGTTTATAACCCAATAGATTCTTTCAAATCACCTCATGAATCTAGTCTATTTTGGTACAAAGTTTTCTAATTGATTGTGACTTTTATGTTTTGAGTGTAATTTTCACTATAAACAAAGTCATGGCGTGTTAGGTAGGCAAGATTGAGATTTGATGCATGATTAATTTGGTGGGCTATCCGTCATGCTAGATAATTGTGTTGGTTTAGTCCTTGCGAAACAATTTTGAACATCACTCTAATCCGGTGCTAGAGTTGGGATCACCCATGTAAATTGAAAACAACGTTTTTGGTAGGAAAAACTTGCACCGTTCATTTACTGAAGTTTGAGGTTTCTCCTCGGGTTAAGCTCATGGAGATGTTTCTTCTAGTCACTCTCACTCGACGCGAGAGGAGTTGGTGATTGAGGTTGTTGAAAACTTTTGCCGTTGACAACCCTTGTTTGGACCTCTCTTGAACGGTTTCTATCGCATTTGGTTTTCGTTTTGCAGTCCTCGTGTTTGCCCAGGACCTTCTATGCCCAACTGATCTTGGACGAACACTCTACATCGCCATCACTTCGTTTAGCTCCATAAGCCTTGTGTTTATGTCGAGCTACGGACTGAAAAACTTGTATGCATATGTTTCCATATTTTTTAAATTTTGTTTCCATCGAATACATTGTATAGGGATAAAATCTTGATTGTAATCCTGAACCGATTCATTATATGAAATATTTAGCTTTTAGCAAAAAACAACGTAAAAACAACATGGTTAACATAAATTTTTTTTATTATTACAAAATTGTAAAATTTATTCCAGTCAAAACCTTTTATACATCAAGTGTAATTTGTTTTTCGACAACAACAGAACATTAGATTTTTAAAACAGAGCACTCGGATCGATAATGGTTAGGAATGTATCCGAGCGAGCTCCAAACCATACTACAAGTCCCACCTTGGAGCTTTGTTTCCGCATTTCTTCAATTGTATCAAAATTATTCAAAATTTAGACTCGATTCCTTCTCCTATGAGTGCCAGAGCAGCATTACATGATATACCCATATTGATAGTGCCACGAGTTTCTGATATATATATCAGTCAAAGTTCTTAGCGG